CTCATCCAAACAGAGAGATCCCAACCCCACAGCTCCTTCTCCAGACCTCTGGCTCTGATCCTGTTGCTGTGACTCTCCACACTTTTCCCTGTTCCACAGCACCCCTGGCTGAGGTAAGAGATCCTTCCATCAATGCACCATGAAATCAGGCTGCTCATAGGCAACAGCTGCTGCTCCTTGGCATTCCCGCTGGGATGAGCTGAGGAAAACCCCAAATCCAGGTACAGGGTCACTGTGTGCTGGTGAAGCTGCAGAGCAAGGCTTGGGTGGAGAGCAGCAGTGCTCCAGAACATTCCCTGAGATGAGCTGGGGGTTGATTCCCTCCTCAGCCTCCAGCTGGTGGAATAAGCACCATTGTCACAGGAAAAAGCAGCAAAGTGGGGCAGGGGAGAGGGATCTGTCTCATGTCTGGGATGGGAATGTTGAGCTAATTCATCATCTCCTTATGGACAGTGACTTTCCAACATACAACAAGGGCTTAGTTAAACACAGCCTTCCATAAACACATCATCTCAGACCTCCTGGGTGGTCATCAAGGAGAACAGGACATCAGGAGACCAAAACAGGAAAAATAGAGGGAATATCTACCCTTGTGTTCTCCTCATTGCCAATGAAGACCCAGGAGAACCAGGGCTGGTGCTGGAGCTGTGGTGAAGGGAACCAAAGGTCCTGAGTGATTGGATGCCCAATACATTTAATCAATACCTGAGTATCAGAAATTCCTGTGAAGTCAAATCCAGCATAAAAGAAACATTGAGTGGGAAAATTCTGGGTTTGCATGAATCCCTCAAAATACCTTTTCTCCAAAATCTCACAATATTTGGCTCTTTGTGGTGAATCAAATGAAACCAGGTGGCAACTGAAATTGGGTTAAAAGGCCCTTGGAAACACCCTAGAGAAAAGCCCTGTGTAACCTAGGTGTGAAATCACTGCTGATCCAGGTACCTGCCCAGATGGCCACGGCACAGAGCAACAAGCAGCTGGCTCAGAAATTATCTGCTTTAGAAGAAACATGGCCATTGTGCCTTGGGAAATGCCCCTGAACCTGTCAAACCAGCAGGGATCAAAACAGCTCTGAAACAAAATAACTGAACGGGAGAGGCCAACACAATGACAAGCCCTGGAGCATGACCCCAGGAACTGGGATATAGGAGCTTGCCAGGACAGAAGACAACTGTTCTTTCTCCAGGCTCTCATTGGTTTTGCTGGCTTGGGAGCCCCATGGCAAAGCCTGAGCCCTGGCCTTGGTCTGTGCAGTGGAACAGTGAGAGCAGCCTCACCCATTCAGAGGGACCCCTCAGGTTCTCAGGTGTTCCTGCTGCCTTCCTATTTTCACCAGTTTTGCTGTCCCCTGATGAATTCCTGCCTTGTTCTCCAGAGTCCTCAGCACACCTGAGCCTCAGCCCTGCCTCTGGCAAAGCCTTTTCCCATTGTGCTGTTGGAGCAGAGTCCTGAGGCAGCACGGAGCCACTCACACTCCTGCTCTTGGACTTGCTTCATGCCCAGCTCCACCACCTTGTCCTCCTCCAGGTCTGTCTGCTGCCCCTCCTGACATCTTTTCTTCACACACCGACTCATCTTCTCTTTATCCTCCTTCTGACCCAGCTCTTCACTGCCCAACCAATCTTCATTGGATTTTCCCCAAGAGCAACTTCAGGACAGCTCCTCCCTCCTTGGACACCTCTCCTCCCATGCTGGGCTCTCTCACAGCTCACGCCAGGCAGGAATTGTGGGGACAGGCCCTGCTACAGCAGCTGCACAATAATCCAAGGAAGAGAGGTCTGGGGACAAGAAGGGCACTCACATTGTCCCACACACTGTCACTTGGACATCTGCTGAAGACTCATCTGCAGCTGTCCTGCCGTGAGAAGAGCAGAAGGCACAGCCAGGGCTGTCCTTCCTCAGCTCAACACCTCTCCCAGGCTCCCCTTTGCTGGCAGAACAAACCAGGACCAGGAAGGGCAGGTCACAGACCCCCTCCACGGCCTCAAGGTGTGCTCAGCTGGCCCAGGAGCTCAGCCTTTTCTGCAGGCAGCTCTTCAGTGCAGACATTGCTTCATCTGGGCTGTGGTGGGCTCAGTCAGCCCCAGCTGTAACACCAGGGAGTGTGGCTGCTCCTCCATCTGCCCTGTAGCTCCCACCTGCCCCCAGACACTTCCACAGCCTTCAGCCAGAAGGGAAAATGTGTCCTGCCAACCACAACTCTACCAATATAAACAGATACTGCTGGGGGTGTGAAAATGTGGCCTCCAAACTATGGGAAGGTCCCTTGCTCACATCAGAGACACCTCCCAGGAGAGGTGTCTGGGCCCTCTGCCCCAGCACTGCTGATCTGCCTCCCTTGGCAGCCCCCTGTGAGCTGTCCTTGGGATTCCCTGCCTGGGACAGAAGGGTTCAAACATCAGCACAGGATTGTCCTCTGCAGGCACTTCATCACCTGGGTCATGGCCAGCCCCCTCCACCCCTCCTCAGCAGGTCTGGCTGGAGCTGCACAGTCCTGTGGGGTCCAGGACTCCTTCCTTCCTCTGCAAGGCTTCATGAATCTCCTGGGAATCTGTGTCATGGGCAGAGCAGTACTGGAGCTTCCAAGAGTTTCCAGAACTACTGGAAGCCCCTCACCTGCCACAGCTTTGCCCAGAGCCACCACCCCTCCCATTCCCTCTGGTCCCTGGGCAGAGGTGCTGTGGGAACTCTGCCCAGCAGTGCTCCTGTCCCCAGGCAGGATGGGGAGAACACATCGAGGCAGGTTCCTGACACACTGAGGTGCTGAACACCCAGGAGGGGCTTAAAGGTGTCACAGCTTCTCCCAGAGTCTGAGAAAAGGGATCTGGGCTGTTCTAGAACCCAAAGGATTGTGACTGTGGTGCTCCAGAGCATGAAAATCTGGAGAGCAACTCCCAGCAGGACTGCAGAGGCTGTGCTGTGACCTTCCTTGCCAAAGACATCAAGGCCTGGATGTGACCCTGGGGAGCACAGCATGGTGCTCTCCACGTGGTTCCACTCTCAGGGAACTGCCTTCCTCCTCAGCTGCTCCCAGGATCTGCCTGGGATCTTCACACTGTGGCTGAAAATTATTCATGAATGTACAAATGCATTCCCTGAGGTGCTCTCAGAAAATGCTGATGTCCATATCCTCTGTATAATGTTGTGGTAGCAAGAAGTGAGTAAAAAAATGAGAGGGTTATCAAAAGCAACCCCCTCTCCCAGTCATTCCTGTACAATTCACTGGAAAATATGGATGTTTCATCCCTGGAACTGTCCAAGGCCAGGTTGGACAGGGCTTGGAGAAACCTGGTCTAGTAGAAGGTGCCCATGGCAGGGGGGGGAATGAGATGGGCTGCAAGGTCCTTCCAACCCAAACCATTCTGTGATTCTTTGAAAAATAGCACTAAAAGTGTTTCTTATGCAAACATCCCTGAACAGGGGTGACAAAAACAGCAAATCTCTGTGCAAATCACCTGATGAGCCCTGCCAAGAGCAGGGAAGGAGAAGAACTTTTCAGAGGGGCAGGGAAATGGAACTTTGCTGCTCCTTGAATATTTGGGCAGCAAGGTTGAGGTGAGGCTGCAGCTGAGCAGTTCATGGGGAGTCAGGAGGGTCCTAGGACAGTCCTGGGTGTTGGGGAGCTCTGAAAGGGCTGGAACAGTTACACTGCCCTTCTTCACCCCATTTTTCATGGTATCTGCTACCCCCTTCATGAAGTTACAGACTTTTGTGACACTCAGCCCTGCCCAACCTCCTGTGCCACCAGGGCCAGGGGCAGAGCCCAGCTCAGGACAGAGCACAGGAGGAGAGCAGGGCTTCCTCTTCCTTCTGTAGCAGGACTGGTGTGAGGTGGTGACTGCTCTTGTTGAACCTGCTTACCTCAATCCCTCTCCTAAAATCACCAGTCCTTGACAGCTCATCTCTGCCAGGCAGGGGGACAGGGCTGAGGGATGCTCTGCCCTGGGGAAGTGCCAGAAGGGAAACAAAAAAGGACAAGCCCAGCTGCAGACTGGAGAGCAGCACCAGTCCCAGTAGCAGAGAACAGGTCTTTATCCTCCACATCCTGAGGCACCTGAGGATCCTGCTGGGATTCTTTGTCTCTAGGACGTGCTGGGTTTCTCAGCCTGCCACCTTGGAAGGTTTGTGTAACTGCACTTGGGAGGATGAGGCTGGATGTTAAACCCCTTCCCCTGGAGGGTTGTGCATCTGTAGGACGAGTGCCTGGGGAGCTGTGGGGATGGGCATCCTTGGGGGTCTGCAGGACTTGGCCAGACCTAGATTTGGGATGGGAGATTTGTCTGGAGACCTCCAAAGGCTCCTTCCCCCCAGCATTTCTAGGAGGTGTCACTTGTGCAGTGCATGTTTGGTTACGTGTATCTGTGGGAGCTGCTCCGTGCAGGATGTGCTGGGATCTGCATCCATGAACAGCAGAGCAGCGAGCTGCAGCAGGAGAGATGTGCTGGGCACAGCAGGTGCCTCTTCACCTCTTCCCTGACGCTTCCCTGCCCTAACAACTTCCCAAAGGCAGGGAAATGGGATGTTCCCCTGCTGCACCCACAGCTATCGTTCCATGGGGCACTGCCGGGCATCCCGGAGCCCGGTGCTGAGCCCCACCGAGTCCTGCCGGGGTCTGGGGGCACAGAGCCCTGAGAGTCACCTTGGGATCCCACAGGGATGGAGGGATCCCGTGGGGATGGAGGGATCCAGCAGGGATGGAGGGATCCCGTAGGGATGGAGAGGCTCAGAGAGGGTGAAGGAATCCCGCCGGGACTGAGGAATTGTGCGGGGATGGAGGGACCCCGCGGGGATGGAAGGACCCGGCGCGGCGTCCCCGAGGCTGGGGGGGCGGCGGGTCCCCAGGGAGCCCCGGGGGTTCCCGGCGGCGGTGGGACGGGACGGGACGGGACGGGACGGGACGGGACGGGACGGGACGGGACGGGGCCGCCCCGCCTCCCGCTTAAAGAGCCGCGGCGCCGGGCGGCCCGCAGCGAGCTGGGACCGGCACCGCCCGCACCATGCGCTCCGCCGCCAAACTCAGCCGCATCCTCCTCCTCCTCCTCCTCCTCCTCCTGCCGCCACCGCCCGCCGCCGCCTACTTCGGGTCAGCACCGCCCGCGGGGACCGGCCCCGGCACCGCCTTCGAGCCGGGGACCCGGGGGGAGCCGAGGGTCCGTGGGGCGGCACCGGGACCCGGGGACGGGGAAAGGAGCGTCCGCGGGGCAGCTCGGGGTGTCCGTGGTGCAGCTCGGGGTGTCCGTGGGGCAGCTCGGGGTGTCCGTGGGGCAGCGCCGGGACCCGGGGAGGAGCACGAGCGTCCTTTGGGACAGCGCCGGGAGGGAATGCGGAGCTTCCTTGGGACAGCCCGGGGCTGCGGGAGCGCAGCCCCCCGTGGATGCTCTGCCCCGGTCCCCGGGCTCGTCCCCATCGCTGCCAGGGGGTCCCGGCCGAGCCGCGCACCTGCAGCGCCCGGAGCATCCCCCGCACCGCCCCGGGCACCGCGGGACCGTCCCGGCCGGGCCAGGCGGGGCAGGGGCTGCGGGAAGGGGACGCGGGAGCCCGGTCAGAGGGGACCAAGGGAGGATCAACCTCCCCTGCAAGAGCGGGATGCGGAAACGGGTGGGAGATTCTGTGGGCTGGGAGGAAAACTGGATTATAGCCCTGGAGTGTGCTCCGGGTCTGCTCAGGGTGCGAATGAGCCCCGGCAGTGGCTGGCATTGATCGCGCCCTGCAGGCTGCTTTTCTGGGGAGAAGGTGGGAGGATGGGGCTGGCACAGGGAGCCAGGGCTCAGCGGGCAGGGATGGGGGACACGAAGGTGCTGCGGGGCTCTACGGCTTAAAGCCAGCCCAGGGACGGAGGCAGAGCTGCTGCTCCAGCCCGGGACACTGCAGGATCGGAATCACTTGGGCACAGCTGTCCCTGGGTTTGTGCCTTCCCCTCACGTTTTGGTTTGCTTGGGATAAAGGCAAAGATGGGTTTGTAACAGGCTGGGTCAAGGCAGAATTTCCCATGCAGAATGTTCTGGGGGGTTTTGCCTTGTTTTCTGTGTGAGCTGCTCCTCAGGCAGGATTTCCAGACTCACGGCAATCAGAGCTGTTGGTGAGGGTAGAACAGACACGGGCATTTGTAATTCAGTGATTGTAGCACTCAGGACTGGTCTGTGCTGCTTTGCACACGTGGAGGGTCCTGTTCCCTCTCCACTGACCCTCCCACCACTTGCCAGACTCTTCTTTCCACGTTTGCTGGGAAGTGTCTGCTGGCTTGGCACTTCTCACCTAGGACACAGCTGTTATTTCATTCCTGCTGCAAAACTTCCTAAAATCATCTGGATTTTAAATTTATTAATTGTGTCCTTCAGCCTAATTGACACCTAAGTCCCTGCTGAGGGGGGCTCCCCTTTCCCAGTCTCTCTGGGCTCGTGTCAGCACTCACTCCATGAAGGGTTTGGGCTGCAGGGAGAGTTTGGCTTTCCAGCCACAGGGATGTGCACGTGGCTGTGCCAGGGGAAGTGAACAAATTTGTGCTGCCCTTCCAGATAACAACACAGAGCTGTCACTGACAGCTCAAGCTGGACTCTGTTAGACCAACCTGAGTGATGCTTTGCTCTGTGTCGATGATTTATTGGTACAAGCGGCTTTCTGGGCACATGGAATCTGTGTGTGCTGCCTCTAGACCATGCACAGCTCAGCAGCTGAGGCTGTAGGTTCACTTTTCAGTGTTTTTTTCCCCTCGAGGGGTCTGACACAGGTGGGTCCTGTGTATTCTCACCTCTCCACCTGAAAATCAAAAGAAGGAACCCAAGTCTAAGAACTCAGTGAGTTTGGTGGTGATGAGCAGGGTGATACATGGGTGATTTCAGATACAAAATTGAGTTGATAGACTCGAGAGGAACTTGAATATTTTAGAAGTTAATGTTTGATGTGGCTTGGTTTAGGAGAAAACCAGTCTCAAACTATTACTGAACTGGAGGGGACTGGGGACCCTGGGTCAGTGGCCTGCTTCTGCATTTAGCCAAAGAGGAGAGACCTAAACCTGTGAGCCAAATAGTGCCTTTCTAAACACTTAATGGAGAAAATCTGAAAAGATGGAAGGACAGGTGAAGGAGGCTTTTGGTGGCAACATGGTCACCAAGGACCTGAGCCTTTTCTGCTGTGGATGTAGCAAAGGAGAAGTATTTGGTTCAAAGGGTGAAGGAAACGCCAAGTTTGATCCCATCAGGGCAAAGGTAAAGCATGAAGTGTATGGGATAGTCCAGCAAAAACAGTCTAAGGGCCTGGCAAAGATGCAGCTCACCTTTAAATACAGAAAACAGTTTTGCCAGAGAGAGCACAGCATCGTAATGGATAAATTCAGAGCAACCCAGAACGGGTTGGGTTAGAAGGGACCTTTAAAGTCACCCAGTCCCATCCTCTGCAATGGGCAGGGACATCTTCCACTGTCCCAGGCTGCTCCAGCCCCAATGTCCAGCCTGGCCTTGGGCACTGCCAGGGATCCAGGGGCAGCCCCAGCTGCTCTGGGCACCCTGTGCCAGGGCCTGCCCACCCTGCCAGGGAACAATTCCTGCCCAAGATCCCATCCAGCCCTGCCCTCTGGCAGTGGGAAGCAATTTTTGTATTATGGTTTTAGGACAAAGGGGATATCTTTTAAATGACAGCAGCTGTGGGCAGAGCTCCCACCCCATTCCCAGTACCTGGAGCTGTTGGCTCACTGGTGTCTGTGCACTGGCTGTGCTTGAGCAGATCCTGAACTCCTGCTGCTGGGTCCACAGGGGGGAAATTAAAACCTGCCTTTAGGAGAGGGAGAGAAAACAAGCTGTGTGAAAGGTGGCCTGGCTGTTGCTGGGGTTGTGTTGGGCTTGCTTGGCTCTCTGGATGCAGGAATCCAGGAGTGTCCAGTGTCATCACCTCCTGACTCCCTTTGTGCTGGTTTTTCTCCCACCTTTGCTTCAATCCTCCCCCACCCTGCAGCTTCCTGTAAAGCATTCCCTCCTTTTCATGCTTTTCCTCTCAGGATGTTCAACTCCTCAGGTGGTGGGAATGTCTCCAGACCTCATTAAAGGCTCTAAGCCTCCTGTTGTCTCCTTGTTCATGTTTCACAAGGAAAAAAGGCATTCAGGATGTGCTGGAGGGCAAAGAACTTCTCCCAGGGCAGAATCCAGAACAGACCTACCCCAGGCAGGAGGTTGGTGGGAAGGTGGAAGTACCAAACCTGATCAAAGCCTTCTCCTGGGGAGGCCTCTCTGGAACAGGCTGGGACGTGTCTCCTCCATGGGCCAGGCTGGCCCCTGCTCCATGGGCAGATTTCTTTATAACTCATCCTGGAATACCTGTGGTGGGATCTCACAGGATGTGCTGCCTGCTCACAGCTTCACAGCTCCTCTTGCCTGCCCATGCCCTCTGTATTTAGTGCTGGCTCTGCTCCACCAAAGCCATTGGCACAAGTTTTGCTCATCTCCTGATGGAAGGATTTTTTTGGGGCTATTAGAGGATAAAAACAGCACGTGGCTTGCAGGGCTATTGAAGCTGGGCCTTGCATAGTTTTGGAAACAGCATCAAATGACACCTTAAAGTAAATATCATCATCCCTACACATGAGAACACAGCTGTCCTCACATCTCCTGTGTCTTTTAAGACATGTCCAGTGAGCCTTGGTTTCCATCCCATTAGCCCAGTTACCCACATTCCATTATTTTCCTTGGTAAACATCTTATTGCAGCATTTCCCTGATAAATCTAATGCCCCAAATGCACCTCAAACAGTGATTCTGGTGTCCAGTTCTGAGTGCTCCTGGAAAGGTTTCTGGGGATATTTCTCTTCCTGTTGAGCTGATAATTAAATGCTGATATTATTTACAGGCTGCATCCTTGCTCCTCAAAGGACAAATCCTCCTTCAGGAAGATTTGTTACAGCCTCATTGTTGTCACTGTCAGTCACACAGAATATTTGGGTATTGTATTAAAAAAGAGAGAGAAAGAGTAGAAATGGAGAGGGAAGGAAACTTTCAGCTGGGATTTTGGGAAGACTGAGGATGGAGTCTGTGGTGAAGCAGCAGAGGGGCTGTGGGGCTGCAGAGAGAAAGGCTTTTCATGGATGTTTTTTGATTCTCTTCAGCTCCCAGACTCTCTTTAGTCACTATCTCAGTGTAGCACAGGTTCTAAAAACCCATCCCACTGGGTGCTGAGTGTTTCATGCCAGGAATGCTCTGGGGAATGTGGCCAGTCTGGACTTAGACTGAAAATCTGCTCTCCCCTGGAATGACTGCCCAGTTATTGCCCTGGGCTGGGATCAGCCCTGGAGCTGCCCTAGAATTGGGATCCACATGGAGATATTTCATGTGGCTGAGCTGGGAGGTGGAAGGAGCCAAACCAAGGATGTCCAGACTGTGGGAGCCCAGAGCAGGTGAGGATGGAGAGCCCTGTGCAGGAGCCTGACCTGGTTACTGCCTCTCCTCCCAAACTGGCAGCTCTTCTGATGCAGGAATTTTATATCCTGTTCTCTGTGGAACTTCAGAATTCTTTGTAAAAAATGAGTCTGGACCTGGACACATCATCTGTTACTGCTCCCAGGCAGGGCTTGCAGCAAACAGCAAACAATCCATCTCAAAGGATTCTGACTCACAATGTCGTGTGAACTCATCTGAGGTTTTAATTCAAGCTTTTTCTCTTTGTGAGGAGCAGAAACTTGATAGAAAACCTGGGGGATAACAGGTATAGAGACACCTGCCCGAGGGGCTGAAATGACAGCTCTGATGGAGGAAAGTAAAAAGCTTTGATATCAGCTGTTAAATCTCAATATTGATTATTGAGATTTATAGTTCAGATGCTCTGGGGATTTCTGCCACCTCCTTTGCAGGCAGTGGGGGCACAAAGCAGAGGAACCATCCTGATTCACAGCAGTGCAACACTCACAGGCCATCCTTTCTCCAGGGACAAACAGGGAGGATTAAATTGTGCTGTTTCTGACAGGATGAAAACTCTGTTTGACAGAGCTGCTGGGGACAGAGGAGAGCTGGGACCTCTGTGCACTGCAGAGACCTTGGTTCGATCCGTCATGTCCCACATTCTCTCAGCCTTTCCTGAAGGCTTCTCACAGCTCTCCATGGGGTGGAGATATTCCTGTGGAACATGAAAGGCCCCTGAAATCAGATATGGAGTCCTGTTGTGGGCTGCTTTGATTTTCTCCTTCCTTGGGAGAGGTAGGAAAGGCATATTTTTACTGGTTTTTAAGACCTTTCAGATCCAGAGGACATTGGGCATTGCACAGGAACAGGCTCTCATTAAAAGTCTCTTAAGCATGGAATGTGGCTGGAAGGAGATTAAAGGAAATAGATGAATTTAGCAAAGTGCTTAGACAGAAAAGGAGAGAGAAATAAAGTTGGAGATCCTTATTGTTCTTTCAGATTGCGAGCAGGTGTGCATTAATTCAAAGAGTTCACTTTCTTTGCTGTATGATCTGTAGATAATAAACTCTAAATCATCTAAAACGATGCAGTTTTCCTGACTGCAAATATCTGCATATTTTATATTTAATCTTGTACAAATGTTTGCATACTCTGATCTTGATCAGATGCTGTTGGCTCTGCCCTGATAAAATACAGTTGTGGTGGGAGCCTGCAAAGGCTCCACTCACAGGGCAAACTCTGTGGCTGTCCTGGCTCCAAGAGTGGCTTCTGCTCCCACTGGCACCTGCATGGCCCTGGGCACCTCCTTGAATTCCTCTGCTGCTTGTCTGAATTGAAAGTTGTGTGAGAGATGAGTTCTGGGAGCTGTGTCTGTGCTCTGACCGTGAGACTCCTGATCCTGGGAGCCTCAAATGCAGTGGTGGGATTATTTATATCATTATATCATTATTTCCTGCTGACATTGCCCTGCCTCAGGTGACAAGTGTGAGAGTTTGCACAAGGGAGACTCACAGAAAGGTGTGTTCTGGATAGCTTCAGTCACCTGGATTAACCAATTTACTGCTTATTCCGTTAGCTGTGTTCTGTCTGTCTGGTTATTTCTGACCTCCTTTTTTAGAGAAAAACCAAGTTACTCCGTGTGTTGCAACTTCAGAAACTCAACAATAATAAAAATAATAATAATAATGATAAAAAACTAATAAATATTAAGTAGGTTTTCCTGTGCAACAAACTATCTGTGTAGGATGCTGCATTACCTCTTTCAGAATTTAAAGTGTTGCTGGATCCAGTTTTAGGAAGTGTTTTTCTTATGAAGCTTTTGCTTTGAGTGATGAAAATGATTAATTAGACTCGGTATCTCTGTGTGTGGTCCCAGGCTGTATTTGCTGTGCACCATTGAGATTGCTCTAGAAATGTAATCAAATTCCTCAGAGGTTTTTATGATGCTTTTCTTCTACAAATATTAATGCCCAACCTGATTCAGAGCCTGGAGAATGGCAATGCTGCCTTCTTCCAAATCCCACTGGCCACTGGTGGGCCAAAGGAATTCCTTGAGATAATCCCTGCCCAGCACTGGAAAACTCAGGACAAAGTTGATGTGGCTTCACCACCTTCAGCAGCACTGGATAGTAACAAATGTGGAGATAAAAGCATGAACAGAAGTTGGGTGGAAGACTGAGATGTTCCCTCAGAATCTTTTCCAGCTTCTGGCAGTCTGTGCATCCAGAATTTCCTGTGTCAAAGTATCTTTGTGTTTCATGGTGCCTTTATGACTTTGTCTTCCATGGTTTGTATGAATATACAGCTACTTCAGCATTCCTTGTACCCTGCACTGAGAAGGGCTGCAAGTTTAACTACGGCCTCATTTATTTTAAGTCTAAAAATTAATAAATTATCACAACTCCCCCTGATTCTTCGATTTTAGAGATCAGAATAATCTTTACTCACTTGGAGGCCAGTCCTGCTTCCACAACCCTGTGTTTTCCTAGTGTCCTTCCTTCTCCTGGTGGGAATTGTGGAAGGCATCCAGCCTATCTTACACAAGTTATTTTGGAAATCTGTCACCTGTACATGTCCAAGCAGACAGCAACATCTGGCTTGTCCTTGCTCCGTGTGTGCAGTGACTCCTTCAGGTTTAAGATGCCTGACCACTTTCCACAGAATTTGTGTTGACTCCTCTCCACTGTTCTGTATTTAACCTTTGCCCACCAATTCTACTCTGGTTTTAGAGTTTCTCTGACCTTGTCCAGGACAGCTCATCCCTGGCTTGTGTCATTCATCACATCTCTTGTAAATCCTGAAGATCTTTTGCCACCTTTTCTCCGTTTCACACAGCAATACCTTTGCACCATGTTCTCCTTCCTGAGTCAGCACCTGTTTGTGAATCAGACACCCCTGGGCTACAGAAAACTTCACAGCCTTGGCTTTACAGCTGCCACTTGAAATTCATCAACCCTCCCAACAAACCTGGGGGAGCTCAACAGCCTTTAATGAAACTGTGTCTGCTCAAGGGCTGAATTTCTGACTTTACATTCACCCAGTGGCTCTTGCTTTGCACTGCCTGTTCTCTCTGTCCCTCAGAAGGGATTCATGGATTTTTGGCCAATATGTGGGCCCTTGGGATGAGCATGTGGAATGGCAAGAACAGTGAGCAGTTATCCTGCAGTTCTGGTTTTTAACCAGTTAAGGTCATACCCTGGGACTGCTCTGGAGTCACTGAGCCTCTGCCCTGAGCTCCTGCTCCTTCTGAACCCCTGGGAAAGGGAAGGGCTCAGGGCTGATCACACCTTTCCTGGGAAGGGTGATGAGTGGTCTAAGTAGTCAGTGAAACCACTGCTGCCTTCTGGAATACCTGACAAGGGATTAAAGATGTTTTAGCTGGGATGGAGGATGCTAAAATGAGGATGGGGACTGGCAAGAGGGGATTTTGGGGAGGTAGGATGCCTGGCAGGTCTGTTGGCACTGGGACAGTCAGTAGTTTGTACGTGGAATTTGGGAATGTTGTGGCTGTGCTCTCAAGCAGTGAGAGATTTGTGCTGTTATATCAGGCTCTTAAACTCTTCAGTAGCACCTTCCACTTCCTTATTTCCTCTTCCTGTGAACTTGGGAAACTTTGGTGCCTGGGAGCAGAGACACTGCATGGCAAAGGGAGAGGAGCCACATTCCCACTCCACTCCTTGACAAGTGCACTTTTCTGGGATGTCAGTGCTGGAATCCCACTGCCAGGCAAAGTCCAGGTCCTGGCTCAGGGTTGTTATTCTGACATAACAGCAACAGCTCTGCTGAGCCCAGCACTGTCCCCTGAGCTGGGTGCTGCCTGAACATCCCTGTCAGACTTTTGCTGACCTCTGAGCCTGTTCCTGCCCATGCAAATTTTGGCACATCTTGAGCTCCAGAGCTTGTGCCCAGCGTGTGCTTGTGCTGGCAGGGACATCCACCCCTGTGAACAGGTTGGTTCACCAAAGTGTGTTGGGTTTCAAGCACCAGGTGAGCCAGGCAAAGCCCTCAAGCTGCTTCATCATGGCTTGGTCTCAGTGCCTTGGGTTAATCTTGTGTCCCTCAGCTTCCTCCAGCTCAGGTCTGCCTTCAGCAGCCTCTGGGCAGGGTTTGAGCCAGGCAGGGCTCTGAGCTGTGCAGTCTGAGCTGCCCTCTGGAGCTCATTAAGCTGTGTTAATTGGAGTTTCTCGGGCTGAACCTGGCCCCAAAGCTCTGTCTCTCTTTCCAGCATTGCCTCTTTATTTCTTGGCTCACTGGGACAGCTCCTGTTTCTGTCCTCCAGTTCAGCAGTGACAACAGGAGGGTTCCTTCTCACCCACTTGGTTTCCAAGGTTCAATCCTTGTGTGATCCACAACGGTTCCAAGGTTCTTGGGTAGTTTGCAGATCTCTGGGTGAGCCTGTGTGTTAGTTAATTGTCTTTGTTCTTAATTACATGTGTGTGAGCACATCTGGGGGTTGTGGGCTCCTGTGGGAATGGGTACAGGTTGCTGTGGGATTGGGCCAGCAGAGCTGTGCTCCAGCTCCTGGATAGGCTGGGCTGACTACAGAGAGATCTAGAAAATACCTCAGGAACAGCTCAGGAACACAGTTTATATTTCTACAAAGCACAGGGGGAACTCAAATCATGGCTGCAGGGCTTGACTTGCATCCTCCATCATGAAGGAGAAGTGTTCAAATAGAAAGGTTCCAGAATATTTCCATTGATCTGTCTGGTTTGGGCATTTTTTGGGGCAGAGCCAGGGGTTGAGGCTCTCTGTGAATCTGGGTTTGGGAATCAGGTGGCACTCCTGGGGCTGCTCCCAGTTTTCAGCCCCCAAATCCTGTATCAAAGTAAAATAATTTCTCTGTGATTTCAAGCATCCTGCAGATACCAGGTTAGTTTTGCAAGAGAAATATTGTCTTGCCATGGAAAGTGAAACCATTTGTCTCCAATATTTGTGACATTTTTCAGCTGAATTGCATTAACACATAAATGCATTGGCATTGCATTTGGCAGGACATTTTTATTTGACCTTTCCTGTATTTTTTCGGCAAGGCTATGTTTTCCAGCAAAACTCAGGCTTGAGGAGGCAGGTGGTCACTGGTGGTGTCCTCCCACTGGCCTTTCCAAGCTGTGGGGTGTGGTAGCAGTGCACACAGACCCTGGGAAGGAGCTGGTTCATGTTTTTTGGAGTGGCACAGAGCTGTGACACAGAGAGCAGCAGCCAGGGCTCTGTGTGTGACACTGGCTGGGCTGTGAGCCATGAGTGGGTGTTGTCACGTTCTCTCCTTGGAGCCAAGAGAACTTCCCATGGGGCTGCTGGTGACAACACACTCGTGTTTCTCCTCCTCCCCATGGCATCAGTCTGGGGCTTTGCCGGGGTGGGTGGTGGGAACGGGATCCCAGATCTAATCAATCTAATCAATCTGTATTAATTTCTGAGCTGGTAAAATATCCCAACCCGCAGCTTCCTGAATATCCTTCCCTTCTTCACCTTTTCCACGATGGTGATCTTCGAATCATCACAGAATCCCAAACTGGGTTGGGAAGCTTTAGGGACCACCCAGCGCAGTCCTGTGCCATGGGCAGGGACACCTCAGGGCGGCTCAGAGCTCCCGTCCAGCGTGACCCTGACTGATCCCAGGGGTTAATCCTCAACTCACCGCCTCTCCCGCTTCTTTCCTTCCAGCCTGACCGGGAAAGAAGCTCTGACCCACTTCCCATCGCTGGGCAGCCCGGGGGGCTCCGGCCCGGCTCAGGGGCACGTGAAGCAGTGCGAGCTGCTCCAGCTGTCCCGCAAGCAGAAGCGGCTGTGCCGGAGGGAGCCGGGGCTGGCGGAGACGCTGCGGGACGCGATCCGCCTGGGCATCCTGGAGTGCCAGTTCCAATTCCGCAGCGAGCGCTGGAACTGCAGCCTGGAGGGCCGGCCCAGCCTGCTCAAGAGAGGTACAAGGTAGCTGGTGTGCAGGGGAGCCCTGGATGGGTTAAACCTCACATGGAGCAGAGTGAGACACAATCACATCTCCCATCTCCCATCTCCCATCATCTCCCATCATCTCCCATCATCTCCCATCTCCCATCATCTCCCATCATCTCCCATCATCTCCCATCTCCCATCATCTCCCATCTCATCTCCCATCTCCCATCTCACTGGGAGCACTGAGAGCTCCATCTCACCCTGCCATGGGAGCTGGGCAGCTCAGGCTGCTTTGCCACAAAACGAGCCTTGTCCTCCTCTTCCCAGCATGGTTTGTCAGGACTGGGAGGTGGGAGGAGGTTCACATCCCTGGCTCCTTGCAGTGAGCTCCCTGCTCAGCTGGGGTGATGCTGTGGGAAATCAGGGTCAGCAGGACACAGTTAAAGAAAAAAAAATCCCTTTAGTGCCTTGGATATTGGTTTATGTTAACCTCTGTTATTCTCAAATACAGAATTTAAACTTATCTGCATGCACACATCTCAGTGCATGTTGACAAATCTCTCCTAAGACTCTTTTACAGAAATCTGGAGAAATTTGGGCAGAGTGGACAGAAGACCCACTGGTTTTTTGTTTCCCAAAATGCTTTAGATGAAGAAATTGTCCTGTGAGGTCTGGATTTGAGGTAGAAGGGAACATAAACCTTTCCAATGCTCAAGAAAAATTCAATTAAGATGGACACTGAAATGATTTCTTAACAAAAATTTGCAGAGAATGCATATAGGGTTTGCCAGACCTGTCCTGATCCAACCAAAGCCTGATTACAGAGTTTCAGCCCTTCAAAAATTCTATTAGCACTTATTAAGCTTCAGTCTTCAGATTTATTGAGTTTCAGTCCTTTGATAATGTTTAGCAACTTAACATTTTCAAAAAAAGGACCTGAAGAAGCCAATATTAATTTTGATGAAAATCAATGCTAATTTTAATTAACATTGGGATCAAAACTTTTTAATGTTTTCTTTTAAAATTATCAATTTTTTGTTACATTAAATATCAACTTAATATCTTATTGTCAGCACATGCAAGGTCAGATTTTCTTCATTGCAAGGCTCTGGTGTGAATTTTTTAGCAGGCAGTGGAAGGAGCTGTTCTTGATCATTTGAATGTCTTTCTCTCATCTGCACCTTCATCAACCTCAAAGAACTTGAAAATGACAATTGAATAATCCTCATCTTCAAATAGCTGAAAAACATTTAATTATCTGGCAGTGGCATGCCTTAACATTTCCATGGGCTCCTGACTGACAAAATAAAATATCACCTGTAATTTCAAACCTGTTTTGGCAGATGGGGATAAGTGTTTGAAAGCTTTTATTACACAATCTTAAGGATCAAATGATGATTTAATACAGCCAAGTATGCTGTGTGCACCCCCTGTGTGACAGGACACTTGTCTGGGAGCAATTATTAGTTCTCATTTTCCTTTAGCTTGCAGAGGGGTTTGTTTCTTTCATAAAGAACAGGAATGGTTTCAGCTGCCACTTTTGAGCAGTTTGTGACATTTGTTGGAACTTTCTTGGAAATTGTTGGTCATGCAACTCTCCCCTGTCACCCAGTAGTGATGAGGTGTTTTAGAAATGTTTAAAACATTTGATATCTCCATGGTGCTAGAGAAATCACAAAGAAAAATACACATTTTTAGCAGTCTAAATGGTCTTAGGAGTGCAAGAGAGTGAAAAAGGTCCTTCCCAGTGAGAGGGGGCATTTTTGCAACAGGTGAAAAGCCACATTCAATTTGCAATCACAACAGACAAACTGCTGTTACTGATCTGGATCAGTAGTGCTTTTTTTACTTCTAGAGATGCCAAAAAACAAACAAGCAAAAAATGAGCCAAGGGTTTTCTGGTTCTTGAAATGCCAGATTTATTTTACCAGTCTGCACCATTTGTTGCTCTTGATAGTTCTCTGGGTACAACTGGGAAACTCCTTTTGCACAACCTGCAAGCTTTCTGTGGCCACTGTCACTGAGGACAGCTATTACTCCTCAGTGATGCATCCAAAATCCTCCTGCATTCCTTCTCCACTTCTTTAGAGATCCATGGAAATAGCTACAGTTTAAATGATTTCAAGTTGCACAGGGGCAGTTGGTGTCTTTATAAAACATGTAAAGCAGTGATGATCTTTTGGTGTCCTGGGTGTGTCATTAGGGGCTGCTGGAAGTCAGGTAAAGCAGGATTTCATCTCAACTCAGTGATCTGGGGAAATAAATACCTTTAGCAAAGAGGTCAGAGCCAGCCACTCACAAAACCCTTCTCGAGAAATGAACCCTCTGCAACCCTTCCATCCCTTCATCCATCCCTTTGCCTCCTGCTCGTTGGACCCTGACCTCCCAGCAGTGGTTTCACTGTTGTCATGAGGAACCCAGGAATGGTGCAACAGAGGAGTGATGACTCACAGACACAGAATTTCCATGATGGGAGATTTGGAGGAGTCAGCTGGACAAAGCCCTGAGCAGCTGGCATTGGAGCCAGCCCTGCTTTGAGCAGGAGGTTGTTCTAAAGACCTCGAGAGTCCTTCCATCCTAAATCTTTCTATACTTCTACGGCTTTTTTTGGTTGGTTGGTTTTGCTGTTGTTTTCAGAGAGATGCCTCCTCCACCTGCTCTGAAATGCTCACACTCCTTCACTACAGCATTGAAAAGCCTCTGACCCTGAGCATCTTTCCTTTGGCAGAGTCACCCCATGGCTAAACTCCTCCTGTTACAATTTTCCCTGTGGTCTGGAGCACACCACAGCACACAACAGTGGTGCAGCAAAATCCTTCTGTATTTATAGGCTGCCAAGCTAAGAAATCCTTCTGGAGAGCTCAGGGCAAGGCTTGGACACATGGAAGGTCCTACCAGAGGGAGCTGGTTTGCTTCAGCCTCATGAAATTCATCTCTGTGCTGGATGTTTGCAGCCAAACTGCCCAGCAGAGACATCTGCACTCAGATGTTCCCCCTGCACTGAGAGTTTCAGATTATCCCTGACAGGACACTCAGTGGGGTCAGGGGAGTGACCCATCCCCATCCCCATCCCCATCCCCATCCCCAGCCCCAGCCCCAGCCCCAGCCCCTGAGGGCCTGGAATTGGCTCTAGGCCCCACTGCCTGTGGTGACAGGAGCTCTGTTGTCACTGTGGGAGGACAGATAGCAGGACACATGGAGTAACCTCTGTTCAGATCCCAAATTGTGCTCCTTGGAGCCGATTGCTGCCATTTGTGGTGTGTCCCCCTGAAAATCCAGCTCCAGCAGCTGCTCTGCCACACTTTCCACAAGGGCTGAAGGACAGCTTTAACTTCCCTCATTTGTTTTGTGAGTTAACCATTAAATGGTGATTGATTCCTCATGACAAAGTGGAGGAATCACCTTAGACTTTTCAGACAAGCATTTGGCAGCTTGGTGATGGTGAAGCTTTGTTTGAAGGGGAAGGAGACGTTTCAAAGTCTGCTGGGTATCTGCAGTAGCTGCTGTCTGCAGTGGCCTGACCACAGCAATGGCCTCTGATTTCCAGTGGGCTGAAAACTGGCCAGGACTTACATGGGGAAACCAAAGCATCAGAAATAGCAGGAGCAGTGTGGTGATCCACAGAGTCAGATTTAGCAGGGGCTGTGGAGCCGACGGGGCCTGCTGGCTCCTCATGGCATGGGAAAGGGCCTCTGGAATGTTCTCCTCCCTTCTGGGATCAGTGTGTCAGAGGGGAGGTTGGAAATCTGGTAAGCATTTGGAGATTGGCTGCTAGAATGATTTAGGATCTCAAGTATCAGTTATCCTCTCTTAGCTCCTTTGGAGAGGGTTAGACACGGTTTGAAAATGGGTAAACATCGTCCTGCCATCCACAATCTGTACTGACCATGTCCCATTCCAGCTTTTACAAAACTTTTGGTGGATTTGGTGACATTCTTTCATTATTTTTAGAGTGCCCTGAGAAATTCTGTAGAGGATCATCAACCAGGAAGATTAATTGCAAATTATTGCCCCAGTGGTTATGGCAACCAAAATGGTGAGGCAGAAAGCAGATTGTTGGTTGATCTCCTTGATCTCCTCCATATTTCCCCAACTCTCCCCTCATGTTTGTGATCCTGGTAGATCTTTATCTAAAATTCTGCAGTTCCAAAGAGCTCCTGTGAAGTCTGTTGAAGTTGCTAATGAAGCCTCACCATTATGCTCATGATTAGTCACATTTTTCACTCTTTCATTTCATCAGGAGAACTCTTTGTCCTGCTCTCTTGGTCGTGTTTATGGTGGACATCACTCAGATGTCAGCACTTAGTGTTCTGATCCACTGTTACAGCTGGATGGGAATGCTCTGAGGGAACAGAATGATGGAGAGATGTGAGGTTGGACTTGGTGAATTTTAGAGGTGGCTTCCAACCTTTGCTCCCGGCAGGGCTCAGTGCAAGTCTAGATCAAGCCTCTGTGGTTGTTTCTCTCTATTCCATTATTGGGGAAAACAGATTCTGATGTGGAAGGAAATCTGGAATTTTCCCATGTGGAAGATTTGTTTGCTTCATTATATTTTATTCCATGTGATGTATAAGTTCTCTATCTTCCACAAACCAGTTTTTTCTATACCATTTTTTCTTACCCATTCATGCACTCAGAGCTATTGATCAGTAGCCTGTCTCTCTTCCTTGCATTAATTCCTAAATTTTGGACTTGTTAACAATTTCCCATTAATATTTTTTTTCCCTGCAAATGAACTCTAGAGGAAATATTAAGATTTCCCCCAGGATGGAATAGGAGAGGAGGTACATATAAACAAACAAATAAATAAAATATTTTGGCATTTGGGTCAGGTTTGTGTCAATCAGAGTTTCTGTAGCTTCTGTGAAGCTCATGAATATTCCTGTTTCTGCCTGTTCTCATGTCTCCACAGTGAATTTTCATTCAGACACTGTACTTTGTTTCCTGGTTAAAATGTCATAGTCACACCATGGCCTCAGGGATTGTAGCCAAGCTGGGAATCCTGCTTTGGGGAGGAGAACAGCTTCAGAGCACTCCCCCACAGTCACTGGGAGTAGACAATTTACAGGGAATTCAGAAAACCCACACGTGTGTGTGAGTTTTCCTTCTTGCCAAGATGTCCTTCAACATGGAACCCTTCCTTTTCATGGAAAATAGTGCTACAGCCACAATTATAAACATTTTAAAATAACAGGTTGGATTTTAAGATACTTTTTCAGTCTCTACTACAGATTTCCTGATTTTATGGCACAACATGATTTCAGTGATGGTCTGTAATTGCACCAATCAGATCCGTGCTGAGGACAAACTGAGCTTGGTGGCTGTCACTTTTTGCAGCTGGGTGTTTCCCCAGGACTGTTTGTCTGTTGCCACCCTTCCCTTGTCCACATTGAACCAGTCATGGGTGAGCCCGGGGTGTCACTGCAGGGATCTCCTCAATCTGTGTTCCTCTGCTGGGGATGGTGTGGGAACACCGAGGACTTTTGTCTCTTGGTACTTCTAATTACTGTGCTTGGGTTTAGTCCATGGGACAGGCAGGAGAGGCAGGGAGCTGCCTTTCCTGCTCCTCCCATCTCCCAATCCTTCTCCCATGCAGGTTTTAAGGAAACAGCCTTCCTGTACGCGGTGTCCTCGGCCGCCCTGACGCACTCGCTGGCGCGGGCGTGCAGCGCGGGGCGCATGGAGCGCTGCACCTGCGACGACTCCCCGGGCCTGGAGAACCGCAAGGCCTGGCAGTGGGGAGTCTGTGGGGACAACCTCAAGTACAGCACCAAGTTCCTGAAAAAGTTCCTGGGGCAGAAGAGGATCGGCAAAGACCTGCGGGCCAAGGTGGACATCCACAACACCAACGTGGGCATCAAGGTAGGAGCTGCACCGGCAGGTCTGGGACGAGCTTTGGACTCAGTACAAGTCTTCCAACCCATCCTGTGTGTGAGGGGGTGTTCACTGCCCTGCTCACAAACCACACCTGTTCACCTGTGTGTCCTGAGCCTTGTGGTGCTGAGAGTCCCTGGGAAGTCTCCTGAGCTCTTGTGTGAGGAGATGCATGTTGAGTGGCAGAGGAGCATCCTGTGTCCTCCAGTGGTCCCAGGGTGGGTGACAGGGAGACACAGCACAGTGAGAGCTGTGAAACTCCACAGCTGAATGGCTCATGGGGTTATGCCAGGGCCACAGGGGGTTCTGAGGACAGCTGGAGCTTAGAACTGCTGGCATGTGTGAAGCAGATTAAAGACTGAAACTCTTGAGATCAGTTTTGAGTCTGCTGGTGACCTTGCTATGGAACAAGGCCTGTCACAGGTTTGGGTCAGAGACACCATCAGATAGAGCATTTTAACCTGTAGGTTACAGGCTGACTTGTCTTCTGTTTACTGAGTCAAATTGATTGTTTCATTAGAGCACTGCCTTCATTTGAATATACCAAAAGGAAGTCACCATGTTGGAGATACTCAGTTTTAGGATTGACTACTCCTACTGTGCCAAACAGAATTAGTAAGAGCTTATTTAAGAATTTAGAATTCAACTGGTTGTCCTCAGGCTATCCACTCTGTGGCTCACCTGTCAACTCCATAACCATTCCTCTGCTTTGGTGGGTTTTTATTTATTTTTTTTGTTTGTTTGTTTTGTTTTGTTTTGGTTTTGTGGGGTTTTTTTTTGTTTTTTTGGTTTTGTTTTTTTTTCTGGATTTTTTGTTTTGTTTTGTTTTTTTTAATTGTTAACATTTTTTTCCTCCATAGAATAGAAATAATGCCAATTAAAAAGAAGTGCTTGCAGCACAGATTTGCGATCTGGGGCATTGCCTCTACCACAGCTATAGGTCCTGGCAGGTAATAACCACAGCTATAGGTCCTGGCAGGTAATAACCGCAGCTATAGGTCCTGGCAGGTGATAACCGCAGCTATAGGTCCTGGCAGGTAATAACCGCAGCTATAGGTCCTGGCAGGTAATAACCGCAGCTATAGGTCCTGGCAGGTAATAACCACAGCTCTTGTTCCTCATCAGGCGGTGAAGAACGGCCTCAAAACCACCTGTAAGTGCCACGGCGTGTCGGGCTCCTGCGCGGTGCGGACCTGCTGGAAGCAGCTCTCGCCCTTCCACGAGATCGGGCGGCTCCTCAAGCTCCGCTACGACGACGCCGTCAAAGTCTTCAGCACCAGCAACGACGCCGTGGGGCACTCGGAGCTGGCGGGGCCGCACAGACACGGCCCCTCGGCCAAGCAGCCCCTCCTGCCCCGTCCCACAGACCTGGTGTACGTGGAGGACTCGCCCAGCTTCTGCCGGCCCAGCAAATACTCGCTGGGCACCGCCGGCAGGACCTGCTCCCGGGAGGGCAACTGCGACAGCATGTGCTGCGGCAGGGGCTACAACACCCAGAGCCGCCTGGTGACCTTCGCCTGCCACTGCCAGGTGCAGTGGTGCTGCTACGTGGAGTGCCAGCAGTGCATGCAGGAGGAGGTGGTGTACAGCTGCAAGCAGTAGGGCCGGCGCCCGAGGGGCGAGGAGAGTCCGGGGAAGCAGCGGGGGACAGGGACACGGCTCTGCTGAGGGCAGAGGAAGCACCGAACGCGGGCTGTGCTCCTCCTGCCTCGGCCATGAGATGCTGCAGCCTGGGGAGAGCCCGGGGGAAAGCAGAGGCTTTGTCGGGTGTGGGGTCAGGAAGGAGGGACAGAGCGGGGGGGATGTGGGGACGGTGCAAACGCTGATGCAGCCACAAATGTCCCTCAAGTTCAAACTTGCACTCACCCCTGCGGGAATATCCTCCTTCTCCACGGCCCAGGTGCGCTCCTGGAAGTGCATTGGGGTGGTGACACTGGGACACTGAGGGCTCTCAGTGCCCTGGCTCCTGCAGAGAAGAGAATTAAGGGACTGAGGAGGTGACAGCCGGACACTGGCTCCAGGTGTGGCAGGGACAGCCGTGCTCCTGCACCAAGGCAAAAGGATCCTGGCAGTGGGAGATGGCCAGTGCCATTCCTGGGGAGCTGGCTGAACCCTTTCTGCTGTGAAATCACCGACACAGTGCTGAATAACCTCATTTTGGCACAAGAGTTGTGCCCCAGAAATACCAGTTTACAAAGGGAGCTCACATCCATCACCTCCCAGGTCTGTAAGTTTGGATATTGGACTCCAGGTGTGTTTTAACAACATTTTAACCTTGCTGTTCCAGGTCACCTGGAATTGCTCTGTGACAGTGCTTGAGCCACAGCTGAGGGCTGTGGAGTCACCCCTCTGCAGCACATGGCCTCAAAGGGGGGGATTTTGTGGTGAAGATCCAGGGTGATGGTGCCAGTTACGCATCTCTCTTCCTCCTCCCCCCCATTAATCAATCACCTTTCTGTCTCATGTGCAGCCCACTCTGCCTGGTGCCCGAGGTGTGCCACACCCCACAGTCCTGTGCCAGTGACAGATAAAGCTTCTGAAAGGGAATTGGGAACCACAGGAACTGGGGCATCTGGAAAATGAGCAAGTCATGAGTGACAATCCCTGCCCTGAGAAGCTGGGTTTGTCCAGCCCCTGCAGGCGTGAGGGAAGGTGACCCAGGGAAAAGAGCACAGGCTGTTAAAGAGTCATGAGCCCTGACTTTGAACCTTGTTTTTCCCTCTGATTTTTAGCTGAACACACCAGACACAGCCTGTTCAGTTCTTGTGGCTGTGGTTTAGTGAGCAGTTTTGGAAATGGCAGTGAGGCCCCCCTGACCTGGCCACCAGGTGAATGTAGGTGTAGCACAACCTCTTTGGGTGTTCAGCACTCTGACAGTGTATTTCCTGCTCCAGGGTTTTCTTGGTTAATCCTGCTGTGGCTCTGGATTGTCCCTGAGGTAACAAATCTGTATTTACTCAGTCTTGGCAATGGGTACAAACCAGCCAGAGTGGAGATGGGCTGGTGCTGCAAAGAATATGGGAATCCTTCAGCTCAAATCAAAATTCACTGGCAGTGTAAGGGGTGAAGATGCTGCTTTGGGTTGCTAGATTGAAGAAGAATTTCAGGCAGAATTGGGCTGAATTCCAATAGGATGGAGCTCTCCTCAGAGCTGTGGGATCTGCCCTGTGTGCTCAGCTCTGCAGTGTGGATCTGCTGGAGTTGAGCAGTTCAGCCACTCATTTACAGCTGCTCTGAGCAATTCCTCCTCAGTGAGGAGCGTGTACTCACGCTCTCTTTACCTTGACTTTGTTGCCCTTCTGGTTTTTACAACTATTTTTGACTTCTGCTCCCTCCAGGGCTGGCACAGAGCAGTCTCAGAGCAGACCAAGCCATTAACTGGCTGTTTGGAGGCCACTGAGACTTTCCCTCTCACCAGCTACAGGTCTTCTAAAGGGCTTATTCCTTTTTATCCCTTTTCTGGCTCAAGTTGACTTGAACTGAATTAAAGAGTTTATGACAGACATAATACTGCAAATAGGCTTAATTAGCTTTGTTTTTTTTTTACCTCCTAAATACCTAAGAGCAGACCATTATTTATATGTTGCTTTTAATCCTTTTGGAGCTGAAATCTTCCCACGAGTCTCAATTTTGAGCACTCAATGAAAAAGTTTCCAAATAAGCTAAAATTGGCATCATTGGTGGAGTGAGCAGGGAACTCTGGCTGAACTATTGATCCCAAACCCTCTGCCCCACTGACCTTGTGCAGCACCAGAGAGGAAGGGAATACCCCATCTCAGGAGGGTCCTTTGGGATCCCATGTCACCACATGGATCATTCCCATTTAAACAGGGACTGTAGCTCAGTGGAAAGAGATGGGGGGCACAGCTGGACCCCATTTCTTGGGAAGCAAGTGGAGGAGACACCACTCTGTCCTCTTGCTCTTATCAAAGCTGCATGGGAGGGAATTGCTGAATAAGAACTGGACAAAACCAAATTTCAGGGAAAATTAAATTTCTTCATGTGCCAAAGGGGACTTTAGGAAATTCTTCGTCCTGTGTGGCTCAGAGCTGCTGGACAAGATCTGAGGAAGAGGGTTCATTCTCTGGTACCACAGGGTGGATTTGGACTCAGTGGGATGTGGAAATTTGGCATTGGGCTGGAGTGAATTTGGGTTGTTCACTGTTAAGCCAGGTCTGGACAAGGACATCTGATGTCCCCAGCTTTGCTCTGGTTAACTCAGAGCCCCTTTCAACCCCTCCTGACACTGCTGCAAATCCTCCTGTCCAAGCCCTGCCAGGCAGCACAGCCTCAGGGGCTGGAAACCAAATGATGAACACTGATGGGAAAGAAATAATTTCAAATGCCCCAATTGAGGATTGGGAAAAGACTTGTGCATAGTTTTAGTTTGAGGCAATGCTGATGTTAATCCTTTAGGTGTCCTTCAGCACAAAGTTTTTTAGAGATCGTTCCATGGATAAGGGAGGGACAAAGTTTGCATGGGACAGATATCATGGTGACTTTGGGGTTTTTATTTCATTCAGTCATCCAGGGTGGTTTTGTTTGGTTGATATTCTGAAATGTGTTTTAATTCAACTGGCAGCAGTGGGAGCAGGGAGCAAAATCTGAGTCTGTTTGGCCTCCTATATTCTTGGATTGCATTTTCCTCTGAACCAAGACCAAGCATCATCTTGAGCAAAGCTCTTCTGCCATCTCCTGGAGATCTGGGCTGTGAAGATCTGGAAGTCCATTTGGACCTGGGAGAGCTTTCTAATTGTGCCACACACCTTACAATGTACTGCAAATCCCATGGATTTGGTTACATGTGTCAATTACCGGAATGATGGGCTGGAGATACAAGGGGATTGCATTTCAGTCAGAAATCTTCTTGTCAGCAAAGTTGAAACCTCATACCCTGCCTAAAAAAAACCCTTTTCCAAGTGCAAATGTACCTCAATGACTACTGATGGTAAAAGTCTGAGCTGCACAGGCTTTGCTGGGAATGTTTTGGTTTGGATTAAATCTTCTCTGCACCTAAAATCCAAATAACCTGGGAAGAGCCATAGCTCCAGTACCCCTAACCAGGGTCCTCACTGCCCACACAGGGGCTACACTGCTCACACAGGTTAGTCCCTGGCCCTGTTGCTGGCCCTGTCACTCTGGACTTCCTAGTCTAGCTTTTATTACCTCTCCTGGTGTGTTGCAGTGCTGGGCTTGGTAGTCATGGATGCAGCATGTCTGTTGCAGAGGGGAAATCCATCCCTCCATCCATCCATCCGTCCATCCATCCATCCATCCATCCATCATCCATCCATCATCCATCCATCATCCATCCATCATCCATCCATCCATCCATCCATCCATCCATCCATCATCCATCCATC